GGGAAAGAGCAGCTAAAGCAAAGATGCCCCCAGCAGCACCAAGGGCAGCTCCCCCTCAGCCTCAGCCCAGCAAATCCAGCCAGACCCTGCTCAGCAATGCTTCACCTCCTGCAACCCTGTGCGAGGTGGCACAAGGGGCAGCAGGTTTCCTGGCACCCTGGTCAGCCCCAGCTCCTGGTGCAACTGCCAGCCTCCCACTCCCCACCCATGTCCCAGCCCCAAGCTTCATGTGCAAAGCTGCCTTTACTGTTCCTCTTTTCCCATGGCTGCTGTGCTGCAAAGCCTTTTGATTTCTCTCAGTCCTGTTTGAAGTTTGCTGTGCAGGAGGATTTAAAGATTGAAATGTCTTTTTTCCCCTTTCTCTCTTCTCCTCTTCAGAAGGTGAAAGCTTTCTGGTGACCCTGCAAATTCCTGCACAAGCCCCAGCTTGCACACCAGGGCTGCTGCTCTGGAGATAAGGCTGGTACCAGGCTGGGGGAGCTGTGGTGCCAGAACAGTCACCCAGGAGCTGATCTCCCAGAGGAAGAGGGTTTGCTTCTCTCTGAAATAAAACTGCTCCCACCTCATACAGAAGCAAGGTGAGAAACCACCCCTCTGTGTGACAGCCTGACTGCTCTGACATGGGGGGTGGGATGAGCAGTGGTGACCAAAAAGCTTTTTCTAGCACCTGGCTGGATATGCCATGGGATTCAGACCTGCCTGGGCTCAGCACAAGGATCTGGTGTTGTCACCTCTTCCCCCTGAGGCACCATCTCTCTGTGAAAGGCTCAGGGGCTGCAGAGAGCACCCAGCCCTGGGGAGGCTGAAGCAAGGGAAAAGCCACAAGCCTGGTTCAGTCATGCTTGGCATACTGGTGGCAATTACCCACCAGCAACCTGGAATCCCTCCCCAAGGGAGCACCTGGTGAGGCAGCACTTTGATGCCAGCATTTTGACACCAGCTCCCTTCTCAGCAGGAAGCTGTGCCATGTTCCCACTCTCTCACCTCTACCTTTGTCTTCTCCTTGCAGTTTACCTCTCTGGTCAAGGCAAGCATGAGCTTGACCTGAGCCCAGATGCTTCTCACTCTCCTCTCCAGCTCACGGCTCACCCAGACAGAGTGTGAGGCCCAGGGGACAGCTCTTGCCCCAGCAATAGGTTGCAGACATTTACCTGATTTATAGCTGTTATTGGGCCTCAGCTGAAGTGATGCTGAGTCCTGGGGCAGACTGGAGGCCAGCAATGCATGCCAGAAGCAAGGTAGCCATGTCTGGGGAAGAAGATAGGCTGCAGGGTGCCCAAAGCCTTTGGCATTGCTCAGCCCACAGCAGGAAAGCCCCAATGCCCCCTTCCTGGTTCTCAGCTGCAATGCAGGGCCAGCCCTGGCCCCACAGCCCTCCCATAACATGCTGTCCCACTTCAGCATCATACCCATGGCTGCCTCTGCCTGGGCTCCATGCAAGGGGAAGCAGATGGTCAATAGAATGACCTGCTGCAAATGGGAATAAAAAAAAAGCTACCAAAAGAAAGCCCAAAGCTGGCTGAAGGCACTGACCCCCCTGGGAAGCATTTTAATCACAAATGCTCAGCTTTTCTGATTAAATCCTGTGGCTGGAGAGCTGGTGCCTGGTGAATATGCATGCAGCAGAGCAAGGAACCCTAGAAACATGCCTACAGGGAAAGAAACAGGGAGAAGGGATGCAAGGGGCTCTAACCCCCATGCTGGGGAGCACCAGGTCACCATGTTTGCACTTCCAGGCCTGACAGCTTTGAAAAGCTTCAAAAGCAGGAAAGCTACAGAAAGAAGAGCTCCAGCCAGAGAGCAGGATGGGCAGCAGACTCCTCCTGGAGGCCTGTGCTGCCAGCCAGGGAACAGAGCTCCAGGCCTGTGCTGGAAATGCCTCAGGGGGAGCAAGGCTGCCAACTGCTGCCCAATGTGGGCTTCATTCTGGTCCCCCCGTGCTGCCAGAGGCTCTCCAATTACCAGGTAGCATCCCAGCCCACCATGCAGCACAAGGCATGGGCTCCAGCCAACACTCCCACCCCAAGAGCCTTGGGATCACTGGCAGGGGTTCCCCTTGCCTACAGCAAACCTTTTGGCCTCCAGCCTCCTGTGGAGCTCCAGGGATGGGGAACAAGGCAGCTCAGTTTAAACAGCCTCCCTGACGCAGGAGGGCAATTGCCCAGAGCTGGGATTTTACACAAGACATCTTGGACAAATGGGTCCCCTCACCAGGACAAGCTCCTGGTCTGCAGGCTAAGGTGAACTGCACTCAAAGAGCTCAAGGGGGGGAAATGCACCTGAGCCTCCACCCTTGCCACCAGCATGGCCCAGTGAAACCAGTCTGGAATAGCTTAAATTCCACTCAATGCCAGTCTCCCATAATGCCCTGAACTCACAGTGCTCTGGCTACCAACAGAGCCCAACAACCCCACTGTCCTGCATCTTCAGTGGCCAAGAGCCACTTTTAGCAGCTGTAGGTGCTCACACGTGGGTGAAGAGCTGGGATCAGTTTGGATGCTGTCAGTCTCCCTGGAAAGGCACTGGTATGTGATGGTCCAAGTCTTCCCTGCCTCCTACAAGGGGCTGAGCTGAGAACCCACACAGCTCACAGCCAGGCAGAAAGACCCCTTACCCTGTGATTTAGGGGATCCAACCTCCCTCAAATACACCATAAAGCTCATAGGCAAGCAAGGAAGCTGCTCACTCCTCCCTCAGATGCTGACCCTGGGGGTACCCACCTGGGTGCTATTGTATCCTTCCTGCAGGAGGAAGGTCCTCCTGCGTGGCACTGCACCTGGACAAACAATGCAGCCAGGTCCAAATGTCCTGTCCACCAGCTCTGCAGACCCACCCGTCCACCCTCCGCCTGCACAGAGTGACAGCACGGGGCCAGCAGGGCTGCCAGCTGGGCTTGGAACAATAAAGAAGGAAAAACCAAACCAGACCTCCACCTCCACAGCTAATATCCAAGCCAACAAAAGGCCCTTCTTCCAGTGTCTCTCTTCCCTGGCCAGTATAGCTCTCCCCTTTCCACCTTCTCCCCTCCTTGGTGAGTGCACCTCTCCCACCTCCCTTCCTGCTGGAAGATGACGACACTGATTACAAGGGCCCCCTCACGGTAGGACTTCAGGACGTGATTGTCTCCTGCCTTTGTGCAGGGTTAAGTGTGCGAGGAGGCAGGGCTTGCATAAACACACTCAGGCTGATGCTGGAAAGGTCAAAACTACCCTCCATCTCCAGGGATGGGCATGTGTGTGCCTGCACCAGCTCTCGGCCAGCCCTGCAGTTACAATTAACCCCCAAAGGGCCCCGATTCAGTGACGGGCTGACGTTGGCCACGCAGGAGTGCCTTGAACAGGTCTTCTCTTAAAGCCCTCGCTCCCTCTTTTGAAACAAATCCTCCCCTCACTGAGTAAGCTGGATAGAGAGAGGGTGAAAACGGAGGGCAGCTGGTAACTGAGTCAGAGGAGCATCACGATTTAACATACAGCTCCCCAGGCAGTCTCAGTGATTCAGTGCTTGGCCCCTCCAAGAGGGCTCTTGTCCTGCCTCCCGCAGCCGCTTCCCGGTTCTGCAATGGACAGATGCCTCCATTTCACACCACACATCCATGAGCAAAGAAAGGCTGATGGTGAAGGCAAAGCTCAGGCAGCAGGGAGCTGCAGGTCCAAACCTCGTTTGTTCAGTCAAGCCCCTAGGTTCATCTTTGCTGTGCCCTCAGCTTGGCCTGAGGGGAGCCCAATACCCCCAAAGCTACCCCAGCAGCTACCACCAGCATCTGCATTTGGATACTCCAGCAACACACACGATGCAAGAGTTCAAAGCTCTGCACTCTGAGGTCTGTCACACTACCCCTTGCAACACTCAGCTGGCTGAAGAAAGGAGGTACCAGGTTTTAGAAGCTGCACCAGAAGGCACCTGTGTTGGTAGATGCCACAGCCAGAATCTGGACTGAGATGTCTGCTACCAACAGACACATATTTTTAAGAGGGCTCCATCCACACCAAGTTCAATCCCTCCATGCCGAGCACAGACAGGGAAGGGCTCAGGGAAAAGAGCCTCCAGGGCTTGGGAGCAAAGCAGTGTGCCAGCCCCTGGGCTGGAGAGTTGGCCACCCCAGGGACCAGCTGCTTGTCTGGCCAGAACCCTGTGGTGCACGTCACAGCCTCAGTGGTGACAGCACGTCCAAAGGTGCCTTGCTAGCAGCTACAAGCAATCCTCACAGCTGAGTAACGATGCTTTGTTCTTGCAGACACCTCCAGCCTTGGCCCCCTCACAAAGGGCTCCCCTGCAGCCTGCCCCCACCCCTACCCTTCCTGGCCCTGCCAGTAATTCCCAGTTTGAAGTGACTTCCAATTCAAACCTTGTTGCTGGTCCCCAACTTGCCCCCATATGCAGAACAGGCTCTTTGATGAGGACCACACAAAACCCCCGCAAAGGTACTGCACTAAAGGTTTAATGATTTTCAAAGCCTACCTGTGACAGTCACCAGCATGGAGGCCACGAGTGGACGGTTGTTGTCCAGCTTACGGCTCAGCCTTAGCTCCCCACTTGATTGATTTACAATCAACAAGTGCAGTTCATTTCCCCGCTCAAAGGTGTAGAAGAGGTGGTCGGATACATCCGGGTCATAAGCTGGAACCTTCCCTATGACCCCTGAGGGGAAGGTGTTGGACTTATTGGACACGTAGTTATTGAACAGGATCTGAAAGTTCTTGAGAACGGGGCTGTTGTCATTCTGGTCAATGAGTTTGATGTGGACAGTGGCTCTGCTGACCAGAGGGGCAGAGGTGGCCTGCACTACAATCACATACTCAGGTTTTGTCTCATAATCCAGGTCTATCAAGGCTGTGAGTTCCCCAGAAAAGATGTCCATCTGGAATATCTCAGGGATGTTGCCTTCCACAATTTGGTACATGATCTGGGCATTGGGTCCCTCATCTGGGTCGACAGCAGTGATTTGAGCCACAACAGAGCCTACGATGCTGTTCTCCTTTACCAAGACCTCAAACTCTTCAGCACGAAAGACAGGGGCATTGTCATTCACATCCTGAATGGTAACCTGGATATGGACAGGAGTTCTCTGAGAAGGGATGCCCCTGTCCACAGCATATGCGGTCAGCTCATAGACGGGAACATTCTCACGGTCCAGCCTGCGAACAGTGCGAATGATCCCTGAGGTAGGCTCTATGGTGAAGTCTCCATCCCCATCCTCCCCGTTCTGGAAGGTGTACTGCACCCGCCCGTTGGTGTGGGCATCCCGGTCAGTGGCAGAGATCTGCAGCACACTGGTGAAGGGAGGAGCATCCTCAGAGATCATGCCTTGGTAATGAGGGTTGACAAACTGAGGGGCATTGTCATTAACATCATTCACCATTATTTCAACATAGGTGGTGTCTGCTTTCTGGGGGATGCCATTGTCCTTGGCAGTGATAGCCAACGTGTAGGTGACCTGGTCCTCATAATCTAGTTCTGCCTGGAGGGTGATGGCCCCAGAGTCTGGATCAATGCGAAACTGAGGGACGTTGTCTTCCAGGTAGTATGTGATGCGGGCATTTTCCCCCACATCATCATCTGTGGCACTGATCACTACCACAGTGCTGCCCACGGGCCGGTCCTCGTTGATGCTCACAGAGTAGTGGGCACTCTGGAAGACGGGTCGGTGTGTGTTGGCATCGGTGATGTTGATGTGCACGTGGCAGTTGTCACGCAGGGTGCGGTCGGAGGCCGTCACGGTGAGCACGTAGCGCCTCTCCTGCTTGTAGTCCAGCGGCAGAGACAGAGTGATGAGCCCCACCCCACCTTGCGTGCTGATGGAGAAGCGGTTCCGCGTGTTGCCTCCTGTGATCTGGTAGGTGATGGCACTGTTCACATCCCGGTCAATCGCCGTGACGCTGAGGACGCTGGTCCCCACGGCTGCATCCTCGTTCAGGCGGATGAAGTACTCCTTCTGGGTGAACTCAGGACGGTTGTCGTTGACATCCATGACAGTGATGGTGACACTGGCAGAGGCAGATAAAGATGGAGACCCGTGGTCCCGAGCCTCTACCCCAAAAAAATAGTGCTCAACAGACTCCCGGTCCAAGGGGCCGCTGACTGTGATCCACCCCGTGGCACTGTTCACCACGAAGGGCGTGTCGGCTGAGACCCCTGTCAGTTTGTATTCCAGGCGCGAGTTCTCCCCGTAGTCGGCATCCACTGCCTGGATGTGGATGACGGAGTGGCCAAGGGGAGCGTTCTCCAGGACAGAGATTTGGAAAGGGGTGCTGACAAAGATAGGGGCATGGTCATTGATGTCAACCACCTGGATGCTGGCCATGCCGGTGTTGTTAGAGAGGGGAGGGCGCCCCGCATCCTGAGCCCGGATCCTCAGGGCGTACTCCCGCTCCACCTCAAAATCCAGCGGGGCCACCACCTGTATCTCCCCAGTGATGCTGTCGATGGAGAACTGGCCCCGGCTGTTCCCGCTGATGATGTTGTAGTGGACCAAAGCGTTGTTGTCCTTGTCCAGGTCCGTGGCAGTGACACGCAGGATCTCGGTGTGAGGCCGTATGTCCTCCCTCACCTGGATGATGTAGCGCTTCTCGCTGAACTGAGGGGTGTTGTCGTTCTCATCAAGGACCGTGATGTAGACCTTGACCGTGGCGGAGCGGGGTCCTGGCTCCCTCCCTTGGTCGTTGGCCTCCACCACCAAGGAATACCTCTCCATCTTCTCCCTGTCCACCGGCCCGCTGGTGGTGATCAGGCCGGAGCGGGGGTCGATCTCAAAGACGGCGTAGGCAGCCTGCTCGTTGACGAAGCGGTAGCGGATGTTGGCGTTGGGCGGGGAGTCGACGTCGGTGGCCCGCAGCTGCAGGATGGGGTACCCCTCCTCCACGTTCTCCCGGATGGTCTCCCGGTACTCGCTCTGTTCGAAGACGGGGTCGTGGTCGTTACGGTCAGCCACGGTGATGGCCACCATGGTGGTGGCGGAGAGCCGGGGTGTCCCGTGGTCAGAGGCCGTCACTCGGAAGTAGTGCAGCTCCATGCTCTCGCGGTCCAGGGCCTGGGTGGTGCTGATGAGCCCGGCCCGCGGGTCGATGCTGAAGAGCTCCA